TATCCAAGTAAGGTATTTTTTTTGGGAGTTATTTTTGTATAAGAGTTTCATTCAGTGTTCATAGCCTTCTGTTGGTTGAGTATTGCAATGTTAGAGACGGACCATAATGGTAGACCAGTCTATGTGTTGTTAAGCCATTGTGCTAGACTGCTAGTGGTGGATGGTTAGAGTTTCTGCATTGAAAAGAACCATAGAAGGAGGCAAACTACATTATGCATTTCCTGATCTGTGGTAAATAAGAGATACTCCCTCTGTTTACAAATGTAAGATATTCTAATTTTTTTCTGAATCGGATGTATATAGACACGTTTTAGTGTGTTTGTTCACTCATGAGTCCGTATATAGTCTATATTAAAATATCCAAAACATCATATGTTTGTGAACAGCGGGAGTAGTTTCTTGGTCTTGTTGCTAGGTCTAACTTTTAGGTATTCGCTCAAAATTATCTCAGTGTGTGGTATACATAGACCAGTCAATAAGAAATTTATCTTGTCGAAGGAGAAACCATACAGCATAATCTTCTCAAACTCTAGCTTTTCAAGACAGTACTAACTACAAAAAGTCAATTATTGATATGAACATGCGGTCAAAACATGATTACTCTTCGAAAGGTTCACTGTGAATCTCCAAGTGCTAATCCTGGAGTACTTAAAATTACACTAATTATGACAAAACCACATTTTGACATAATAGAACATCATTCACACCGTTTATATTTGTGTCACATGATTCATGGAGTCTTACCTCATTTTTGCAGTGCCTTGTTTACATAGTATTATGTATGTAATCAGTCCTTTTATCTGTTGAATAAGCCATCATAACTCTTCAGCCTATTGCTTTGTGAAATGTATCATACTTGTGCTAAAACTCTTTAGTATGATAAATAAATCCAGAGATATGAGTGATTAGGTCCTAAGCACTTTTGAAAACCTCTTAAGTGAGCTAGCATAACTTAGTTGTTTACTCCATTCATTTGCCATCAATAGCCTTTTGCATTTTAGCTCATATATGTACATAAATAGCATAGTGAACGGTAACAAATATGTCCATAGCAATCTTTTGCATGGCTAGCATGGTAGTGCCTGTTAGCCTTTTGCATTTTACCTCAGATTTGTACATAAATAACATACTGAACAGCAACCAACATGTTCATAGTAATCTTTTGCATGGCTAGCGGGGCAGTGCATGTTCTCATTTGAGAACAAGAAGTGCCTCTACAGTCGTTGAAAGTAACACCAGGCTGGGTAAAGTGAATTTTCTCCACCCACTTGTATCTCCTTCCTATACCCTCTTTCCTTTTCTTGAAAAGGGGCATATATTAATATCGCGGAGATACCAATTACACCCAACGCAATGTCCTGACGACATTACGGAGGCACACAACCAAAAACAAAAAGAAAAAGAAGAAAGAAAGATCCCTCTAGAGTGATCAATTTCTTGTAACCACAACACGAACCACCGCCAAGACAACACCCGAAGTCCAAATTCTCCAAAAGCGACGCCTCCAAGAAGGAAATGGTGCACAAGCGCCGTTGTCGCCCGATCATAGATCTTTGGTTTTCACCCTGAAGAAAATCCGCGCTCTCAAAACAATGTCTTCAACAAGGCCACTGCCAGGCACTACCAGTTAAGGCCAGACCTTGGGTTTTCACCCTGAAGAGCAGTTTTAACATGGCCCCTCTTACCCCCTCTTTTCACATGAGAGGTAAGAGTATAAAATAGATCTTAGCCGTTGATCTCATCAATGAATGGCTTGATTGACTCTTACCTTCTTACCTCACATGTAAAAAAAGGAGGTAAGAGGGACCATGTTAAAATTTGCCCACCCTGAAAGCTAAGACTCTGTACTCCTCCTGTGCCGCCGCCCCACTTGCCGATGCCGCTTCTATGAGTCACGAACCACCAAACAAGTCCTCATTGCCTCGAAGGCTCGATCCGCCATTACTAGGCCTCAGACCTCTGCCACCATGACGTTCTCCGCCACTATCTTCATCATGAAAATCAAAATACCGACATGTCCCATAATGTCAACAGTCAACGAAGCTTTGCGTCACGCCCTCCTGAAGCCACACGGGCTGAAATAGGGGCGCACACGATCGAATCCTATCCGATCCAGCAATCTACAAGCGCTAGACACCCAATGAAGATCTCCGGTGGAGCCTTCCGGAACTCATCAATAGGCTAGATCAGTGAGGGCCGGCATCAAGCAGAACACCATCTTGGTGCTAGAAGACCCATAGGACCACCTCCTTTATCCAAGCAAAACCAGCAGGGCCCCACGCCGCCGGTCAGAACAGCGGAGGAGAAGGAAGCCGCGGCCGCTTGCGCGGACGCGTCGCTCGCCGCTCCGGATCACGCCAGCCCATGGCCAGAAGAGCCACGGCAACCAGCGCCTCGATCCCCTGGCGGCAACCGAAGGGCAGCGATGAGACCATGACCTAGGGATTCGAAGGATACCCCAAATCCAGTCGCCTCTGCCGCCAGATCGTCGCCACAGGGGATCTCCGCCGCCACCCCGACGCAAGGGCGCCGTCCTGGCCGCCGCGCGTAGACTACCACCACCGCCGCCCCAGCAGCTCCTGCGAAGGCCTCCAACGCACCAGCAATCCCAGCCACCTTCGGTAGCTGGGTCCGCCGCCACCACGGCGAGGGCCGGCGGCGAAGGGAATCAGGGAGGGGAGGACTTCTAGCAGCGCGAGGCTTCCGCCCCCGGTGTCGCCCTGGGGTGCGACACGGAGGTGCAAGATGCGATCTGGGCCGGGCGCTATAGTAAGTTGTGTTCAATATTGACACGGATGTTTACAATGCTATAAGATGTACACTTACAAAGTTTGGTGCTAAGAATATGGCCGTATGTGTTCTGTAGAACACAATCAAATTGGTGTGAATAATATGCCATTCAAACATGCACAATTTGTTATTATGTGTAGGACATGAATCATAACAATTTAGCACATTTTTCTTGTACGTCTTATAGCATTTCAAAGAACCATGATTTTTTAATTCTTAAACTTTTGGTAGTGGGAAAGGAGATAATATGGGGTGGAGATACAAGTTGGTGGAGATAAGCATTTCCGCTGGCTGGGTGGCATGGTTGTACTTGTACATATCATTTGGAACTTACAGTTGCATCTAGATTTGTTTAGTTATGTTTTGACAAATGACATACTTAGACCAGTGGGAGACTGAGTTTACTGAAAATTGTTCTCAATGTTCCTTTACCTTCATAGTTGCAGCTTGGCATTGTTAGAATCTGCTATCAGATTCATAATGCGATATAGTAGAGGATATCATTGTAAACTGTCAAGATTATTTCGTTGTTATAGAAGTTTCTCGTAACTTGCTTTTTTCCTCCAGTTCTGCATCAAGTACCATGTTTCACA